AAGTTATGCAATTTGAATCCCATTGGTGGTGGTGTGTTAGTTGTTTTCCAACGACAAACCTCGAAGTGTCTGGAATTAGCACGGAATTAGGCCTACTAATCGACTCTAGCCTTCTCGCCCTCTGATTGGTCTAAACGATTTCAACCCGTCTTCCTACGAGGGAGCACGTGACGTCGTGAACGCAAGCAGTACACCGAAGAAGGCCGTGTTCATGTGTGCTACAATTGCTGTAATTATCCCCGTAATTACTTCTAGCGATTCGGCATGATATCAACGTTGTCTTTGTCGAAATGTACTTTCATTCTTGTCGCCTACAGTTTTTCGTCGGAATCAAGGCCCGTGTGTATCAGCCTGCTCAGTCCTGAGTTTTCTCAGGTTGCCACGCAACCACAGGTGCCTCGTTTTCAAACGTGTATCGCAATTGGTCCCGGGAAATTTACATGCTGTGCATTACTTCATTTTAACTTGGCGCTAAAATGTCACGCAGGGAATGTAGGCGAAGGCCACATGTGAGGCGACGGGCCGTTTCGACACGTCGTTTGGGTGTTTTGGCGTGCTCTTCCCTCCCGTCGATATTGAAATTGGAGACTTTTAGCAAGTGGCGGGCACACTGTCAGAAGTCGGAGCATCGTTCCAGCGACAACACTGGCTTCTCGACGACCTGCTCAGGCCAACCTAATTTGATTGGTTCACAAGACACGAAATGGCCAATCAGACTGCTGCAGTGTTCGTCGATAATGACGTCATACACCACGTATTCCTCGGTGAAATGCGCTTGTGTATTCCTCTAGTTTCCCTATCGATTAGCCCAAATTTACACCATTCGATCGTTTTGATTAGAAATGTCTCAGCATTTGCATGGAAGCGCATTGCCTACTTCCACTGTGGTTACGCAACTTTTATTTTATTGTTTCTATTTTTTACAAGGTTTCTGAAATCCGCGCAGTTGGGCTAACCATTAATACGCAAATCCCGCGTGTTGTATTTATGTGAAAGCGTGAAAAACGTCCTTGAAGTCGGCTGCCTAGCACAATGCCTTTGTCACATGCTATCGTCAAGGTCACAACACCACGTCTCTCTGTGTGTGTTTGCGTCCTAATTTATTTCATTCATACGCCAGTCTAATTATTTGCCAGCCACGCATGTGAACGCAATCTGCGAGTTGAACTCGATTTTGATTTTCTGCATACCTGCTTGTTGTGGCCGTCTCTGCTTGTGAAATACACCAACCCCTTAAAGTACGTATATAAATGTCATTGGTGTTCTTCATTTTGGGGAGGATTTGAGCATCCTCCGCTATCGGAAGGGGACTACTGGCTTCAACACCTCAAGTCGAAATGAGTTTGACTTTGTCAGTCATTCGTCAAATCACATCCAAGCTGTTTGGTTTCGATTTCCTCTTTCTGTAGCCCTTCCTCGATCGCCATTGGTTGGTTCGAAGGTCAGACTTGCGCTAACCGAGGCTCTTGTGGTTATTGTACAGGCAGTTGGTTTGATCGAGTGTAGCTTGCAGATAAACCGAAAATACATCGTCTTCTTCATCTAGCAAATATCACATAGCCGTCTCCTGCAGATTTGAGAGCACAGGAAGTACAAAGGCGCGTCCTCTGGTCTGTGTTCGTGTGCGTGCGCAGATGCCCACAACACTGGGTCGGCAAATGCCTTGATGGAAAAAAAGTTCCCCTAGGGCCCATTCCGCGCGTCAGTTTCTAGAATCTTCCGTTGCCACTTTTTCATTGGCTGCGAGGTCATCTCAACGCAGCCGCAACAACCGCACACACGAACGTGTCACGTGTATTCAGGCGTTAAGGCTCTTTTTTTTATAAAATGTCACAATTGGTGCAGAATAGCGCCGTTTTCGAATAAACGCGAGTTCTGGCCTGCCTCCTCTTCCACAATTGCTACTCTGGGGATGTCTCATCTTTGCCTCACAGTAGACGGTTTAAAACTTTCATTTAATGAAGTGAATAAATGTGAACGTAGACAGTGCATCCCTGCGTTGTCGTGGTGGAAGAACACGGTTCCACTCCTGTCTCTGTTTGATTCAATTCTGGCTTCGATGTGGTCCGTACTGGTTAGTCTCGCTTGGAGAATAGTCGTCTTCGATCATTGCTGCGATTGTCGACGCTCCACTTTTCGTCAACAATGGTGAATCGTAGGTCGACGTTGGTGAAATTCCAGTAGAAGACCTCTGACTTGTCGTTTTAGTTTTGAGAAAAAATTAAACAAAAGTAAAGTGTATCGTACCTGTTACTTCTTGAAAATTGAACCTCAAGTTGCCTCAGAAAACATTGACATCTTTCTGGTGCCATTATTCACGGTCAACATGTATTTGTATGGGTAAACCGGTTTTTACCACACTTCATCTCTTCGTGGTTCTCTGCTACATGTCGACAAGGTTTTGTTTTTAAAAAAGCTACTTTTGACTCCTGTCTGTTTCTGTTCAGTTCGACTTAAACGCTAACAAGCTATTTCCAACCGTATCAGTTCTTATGGATTAGAAAAACTCTTCCAATTGGTCGTTATATAAACCGCAACGTTTTTACCTTTGACCATCTCATCCCAAATCGATATGGAGGTCTTGATGTGGGTTCGAACCCTCGGGCCACCAAGAAAGAGAGTGGTGGTGGGTTCGAATACCGACAGGCGTCTTCTTCAGCATGTTGACTCAAATTTCGGTGTCTTAAATGCTGGTCGCTTTCGAGAGTCGTTGCAAGCCTGTGGTGAATAGGTTAGGAATTGAGGAGGAGTCGATCTCATCGATCTATGGGACTCTAACCCATAACCCCAAGTCGAGTGATTTTCTTGTTATCCACAAGCTGACAAGCCAGTCCCAATAGTATCGGCTCCTATTGGTTAGGAGACGTCATTTTCTAATTGGTCGCTCTTTCCTTCTCTTTCTTGACTACCTCGCATCTTAAATCGACATGGAAGCCTTGATATGGGGTTCGAACCAGAAAATATGGTGGTGGTGGGTTTGGGTATCATTTTGTTATGGTAACTGACATTTCGGTGAGATAGTCGAGGTCATTAAATAGGCTGACATTTGCTTGTCGAACCCTTATTCGTCGTTGTCCGTCTGAAAGCTTGGCCGCAGGCCTGCTAAAATAGGGTGATTGGTAGCCACAAAAAGATGATCGAGAAATATCCAAGGCAAACTTTCATTTCTCAGATTTGATTGTGGCGGTTGGTTGTCGTCGGGAGATGATTGAAGCCATCACTGCTGTTGATTGGACAAAAATTCCTTCCAATAGGGTATCTGAGAGGCCGATCGTTGGAATGGGAATATTGTGAGTGTCAATAATTGAGGCGAGTCTGCTGTGGGTTGGGTTGGGAACAGATGTGGAGTCGAATTCGTCGATTTATGGGACTTGAACCCGTGGTCTTAAGCCGCTTCTGATGCTTAATTAGTTTAGAATGCTTTGTTATTTTTCAAAAATTAAAAAAAAATTGTCTGCTATAGCTTCTAGCCAATCTGTCGTCGAGCGTCTACCGACCGCAGACCCTGATGCCGACGGCGACCACGGCGGCAACGACGACGGGTGTGTTGGGAGACACCGAGGGTCCGGCGCACCACCTCGCCTGCGCCATGAGTTTGGCCAAACAGAGCGCCTTCTCCCGTCCCACACCGCAGTCCCCGGTGCTGCACTCCTCCCCCTTCGCCAACCCCCTCAATGACCTTGAGCGTCTCGCCCTCGGCCAGGAACTGGAGGAGACACGCGAGAAATTGCATTTGGTGAGTTCGGCGGCCACACCTCAGAATCCACCAGTTCGATAATCCTCTCGACGCCTTGACCGTTTGTTCGTTGGTCCACTTTATCGATTGGGCATTTGACTTCTAAGAGCTGCACCATTCTTTGATTTATGCGTGGACGATTTGCATCCAGCACACATTCAACCATCAGCCCCCACCGTAGGATTTGGGTCATCAAGGTGGCGTGTTGATCAGGTTACCTGTCGCCGAAACGCTTGTAGATCGGCCTGAGTTGTAATCGAGGGGTTTGAAGGTGGTGTTCAGGGACCTCAGAACCGAACAATCGCGTTTGGAGAAAAACAACCAACAACTACATTGAATAAGTTGTTTCCATGAGAGTGGGACGGATGGAATGCCATTAAGTATGTTGAGACACAGATTTTCAGGTTGTGTAAATGGC